TGTCGCGGGTGCGGCCCCAGCAGCTGCACCCACGTCTCGAGGAACCGGAACGGAATTGTTGGGGTCCCAAGCCTGGTGCGAGGGGATTCAGGCCGAGGCTGCCGGGGAGTCCAAACAGGCTGAAGGAGCTGTCCGCTCTTGGGTGCTGATCGGGGCTGGAGGAGCTGTCCGCCCTTGGGTGCTGATCGGGGCTGGAGGAGCTGTCCGCCCTTGGGTGCTGATCGGGGCTGGAGGAGCTGTCCCACACAGGGTGCTGACCGGGGAAAACAGAGACCTCTGCTGAGGATGCTGATCCCAGCTGCATTCGGAGTGGACCACAAGGAGGATGCTGACTGGGGCTAAACGGAACTTTCCGTACGTGGTGCAGACCACCAGGGCTGGACAGAGGTACTGATGGGCACTGGGTGAAATTCTAACCCAAGACTTTCATTCAGTTGGGAAAATTTTCTCGAGTTCCGACTGTGTGACTGGCACTGTTTAGGGCACGAGCTGTGAGGGAAGCGACGTCTGAAACCAAACTCGAGACTCGGATTCGGTCAGGGTCGTCACGTTGGAGTGAGGGAAGGGCCAACCACGGCTCTGAGGATGGTCAGTAAAGACAGGTTAGGCAGCCCCGGCTGGTGTGCTCACTGGTTAGAGCACTGGCCTGCAGACTGAAGGGTCCCGGGTTCGATTCTAGTCAAGGGAACATACCACGGTTACAGGCTCAATCCTGGCCCAGGTCAGGGCACATGCAGGAGGCAACCAATCGATGTCTCTCTCTCACATTGAAGTTTCTCTGTGTCTCCTTCCCTCTCTCTCTGAAAAAGCAATGGAAAAAATATCCTCAGGTAAGGATTTAAAAAAAAAAAAGACAGGTTAGGCAGACCTGGTGTACATTTGGCTAAAGCAGGAAGCAGGGGTTCCAACAAGAGCTTGGTGAAATTATCCTTTTTCCCCCTTGATTGAATTTATGTGCCCTGACATTTGTCTAAATTATTTCTGTGGAAAATTGTTTCTGAGGGAAGGACAAGGCACTTGAGTGATTGATGCCTAGAAACCAGGGCAGACAGGGCTCTTGCTGCTGGGAAGAGAAACACCATTCATTCTCTGGGTGGCAATCATTCCAGCGCAGAAGGAATGGCCAGGGGCAGATCACGCCCAGTTTTGTGCCCCAACCACAATCTATATTTTATCTCAATTAGAGTGTTTTTCTAGGAGTGGCATTTATTAGTTTGTCTCCCTCCCTAATGACTGAGAGCCGCAGGTGAGCCGAGATACTACCAATCATAGTGCCTGGCACAAAGTAGGTGCTCAGCAAATGTATGACTGAGTGAATGAATGAATGAATGAATGAATGGAGAGGGCGTACGGGCTCTACCAGGTCTGAGCATTAAGTCTTTGTCATCATGCTGCCTTTTCGAGCACAGTGGTCTCAGGGAACTCAGACTTCTCACCTGATGGCTGGCTTCCCCAGAGTGAGTGTCCCAGGAGGGCCAGCCAGAAGCTGCACAGCCTTTTTGATCTAGCCTTGGAGGTCACATGGCATCACTTCTGCTATACCTATTAGTCAAAGCAGTCACAAGCCCATCCAGATTCAAGAGAGAGGTCATAGACTCCACATCTCAAAGGGAGGGGTGTCAAAGGATTCAGGGCCACATTATAAAAACCGCCACAGATCTGCAGTCCATGCCCCACCCCACACACACACTTTTCTCATTGCCCCTTCAGGTCCCTTGCCTGAGATTAACAGGTTCTCCTCTTCTGGATCATTTCCATCAGAAAACAAGCATAATTGAATGTTAAAATAAATGGCATATTCTCATCTGTTTGTATGAGGAATACAAAGTCATGGGGTTTACAACATTGTTATGCCTTAAAAGAAAGTACAAAAAATATCCTGGTTTAAGAAAGAAATCTCACAAATAGTTGCACAGTTCAGAAAACAGATTTCTGCCAGTGATTAAAATTATTATGACAGCCTGGCCAGTGTGGCTCAGATGGTTGAGGGTCGACCCATGAACCAGTTGGATTCCTGGTCAGGGCACACACCCAGGTTGTAGGTTTGATCCCCAGAGGGAACCAATCGATGTTTCTCTCTCTTTCCCTATCCTTTCCTCTCTCTAAAATAAAGGGGGAAAATTATTATAACAATGAATTGAAGTGTTTTGAAGGTACTGTTACTATTAGGAAATAGCAACAGTCTCTGAAATCTAAATGACTTTTTTTTTTTACTTTTTTTAAAAAATATATCATTATTGATTTCAGAGAGAGGAAAGGGGAGGGAGAGAGAGAGAGATAGAAACATCAATGATGAGAGAGTCATTGATCGAGCCCGCAACCTGGGCATGTGCCCTGACCAGGAATCGAACCCCGATAGCCTGGATCCCAGGTCGATGCTCAACTGCTGAGCCACACCCGGCCGGGCAGAAATCTAAATGTCTTAAAGACTCCTTCATATAAAGTACATGCCCAAAGACAGTTATATGATAATCAAATACAGAACAAAATTGACTTTTTCACAAAAGTCTTCTCACTGGATTAATGTCATAGTCCCAAACAGGACTGGACTGGAGCCTTCATAAAAATTCATTCTCTGATATATGAATGCCAGAGAATTTTCTGTTTACTGTGATAAGTGCAAAGGGAACATCCTGGCAAAGCATTCCAGGAAGTATCAGGCTGAGGAATATCTGGCAAGAATGGCTTGTCAGGTTTCCCCAGTTCCTCCAAAGGGTGCACTGAAGTTGGTGGTGACAATGGTCTGCCTGACCAGGGAGAGGTCCTGATCTTTGTACGCAGCCCTCCCTTACACCTGCTGGCTACAAACTGGAAGCACTTGTTGGAGCACTCATCTTGGGAATGAAGGACGTAAGGGCAGAACAAACCAAAGGGAACCTAGATCCTTAAGGTTCATGTAATACAGCCAGCATTCAAACCCAGGACTGGTTTTCTCCAAACTGTTACAGAAGATAAACAAACACACCCATGTAAACTGCATCTGAGAATAAGGCTTGTGCACTGAGCAATTCCAGGGACCTCACTTAGTGCATTCTGTGTGTCCAACCACACACCACATCACTAAAATGTCCCTCTTACTTAAAAACCACAGTTATTCTGGTCTCTGTGATTCATGGCCACATGTTATCCTAATTGCTACAGAATATAAATTGGGATAACCAGTTTGGAGAGAAATTTAGCAATATTTAGTAAAACTGAAAATACACATACTCTACACTCCCTATGATACCCTTTAGCAGTGGTCTCAAAATAATGGCCGGTGGATTCCTGGAGTCTCCAAAGGTTGGCAACGTCAAAATTATCTGTGTAATACTAAGAGGTTACTTGCCTTCCACTGTGCTGATGTTTGTGTTGATGGCACAAAAGCAAAGGTGGGGGAAACTGCTGGCTCCTCCTAATAGTAACCATCAAATTCTCCACTGCCACACGCTCGCAGGGGGAGGGGAAGAAGCACTTTCACTTAAGAATTCCCTTGATGAAGCCATAAAAATTATTAACATTGCCCTGGTCAGTGTTGCTCAGTGGTTAGAGTGTTGGCCCATGCACCAAAGAGTCACGGTTCAATTCCCAGTCAAGGGCACATACCCTGGGTTACAGGTCCCATCCCTGGCCCTGGTTAGGGTGCACTCAGGAGGCAACCGATCGATGTGTCTCTCTCACATCAATGTTTCTTTCTCCCCTCCCTCCCTTCCACTCTCTCCAAAAATCAATGGAAAAAATAGTCTCAGTGAGGATTAACAAAAAACAATTTTTAAAATTATTAATATTGTCTTGACACTTAATTTTTAACATTCAGGGTGATGACATAAAGCACTGTGTATGGAAGTACAATGGTTGTCACAACTGATTACACAGTTTTTGAATTTGGCAGCTGAACTAGTCACTTTTTTTATGAAACACTATTTTTACTTGACAGAAAACTGACAAACTATGGTTATTCTGACTTGGGCATTTGACAGAAACTTCCTCAAAAATTAAAAAAAAACACATGTCACCTCAAGGAAAACAATTACTAGCATTTGTTGCCAATGACAAAATTTGAGCTTTGAAGCAAAAAGTAGAATTTTGAAAAACCTGTGTCATCACCATGAGCTTAAAGTTTCCCAATATTTAAATATTTTCCCAGTGAGATTGGTGGTAATATTAACAAGTGACATTATATAATAAAATATGTCAAAATTTGGAAGATCTACATAACTCAGTGAACCAATATTTTCCAAATGACCAGTGAAGGCATGATGTTTCAAAACTATGCATGAGTAAAAGACCCATTCGGTGTGCAAGACGGACCAATGGATTTTAATTTAACAGGACAGAAAGGTTCATTAATATGGTTTCAAATTCCAAACTGCAACTAGCCTGAAACCACTTCTTGTCCAGTCTTGTGTAGTACCAACAAAGATGCACAGCTATCTGGAAAAGCTACAGGAAACATTTCCAACTATAAATCTACGTGAGGCTGGATTTTCATCTATTTCTTCCAAAACGATGTATTGTAAGGGACTGACTGCAGAGACAGACATGGGGAGCCTGCTATCTTCAACTGAGCCATACATTAATGAAACTTGCAGGAATGTAAAAACAAGGTCACTCTTCTCATGGAATTTTCATCTTATAAAGGTTGTTTTTATAAGATGAATTTATGTTAACATGTAAGGGTCTGTTATCACTTTAAGGGAATAAAGAAGTCACCAATGTCCCCTGAATACACCATACTTTCTCAAGGACTCGGGCAGAAAATTCTAATCACGTTCAAGGGGGAGAAATAGGCTGGATTCGGGGCTTTTCAATGGCAACGTCCAAGGGCCAATGGGGCGAAGCGCTGAAAGCTGTGGCTGTGGAAGGTTGAAAAATGGTCCCCAAGATACCACGTCCTATCCCGGGACCTGCCAGCGTGCCCTTACCAGGGAAACGGACCTTTGCACTCGTGAGCACGGGTGCTGGGAGATGACCCTGGGTTTCCCGGGTCGGCCCTGCCAGCGCCACAAGCATCCTCCGCAGGGAGGCTGCGCGGGCCACGGGGCGGGTCTGGGCGCCGCCCGCGCCGCGGGGAGCTGGGGAGGGTGT